CAAGGGACTTATATCTAGAATTTATAAAATACTCGAGCACCACAACAAGATAAAGGAGAATAATCCAATTGAAAAATGGGCACAGGATATGAACAGACACTTCACCAAGGAAGACATTCAGATGGCCAACAAACACATGAAGGCAAGATATTTTTATCACAATTCTATGTAATTAAAATACTCAGTCCATCATGAAATTATTTTTTTAATGTTGTTACAAAACCTCTCTTAATTTACAGAGCATATTATGTGGGATATTTCCATTTTAGTGTGTTGAGCTAATAGGTTTTAGGAAATGTACAAATATCTCCCAAAAAGTGCTACAGACATCGGAGTTCTGTGAAAGTTATTTGGTCTCATGATCAATATTTATCCATAAAATACACACTAAATTTCACAAAACTATGATGCTGCTGAAGTATAATGATAATAGTGTGTATTCAGTCTGAGGGCTAAATTAATGAACAGTTATACAATGAATGAAAAATTCTATAAACATTATTTTCATTATCAATATTCATCTTGAAAATATACCAAAAAAATACACAAAACTTGGAGCAGTATAAGGCAGTAATGTCTGTGTCTTTTAAGAGTTGGCCTTCCAAATAGAACGAAAATAATCTTATTCATCTTTAACATATAGTAAATCTTAGAGAAGACCATGATTTTCAGAAAATTCCTCAGAAGAAACCTTACTATATTTATACACATGTCGGTAATACTGCATTGAAGAAAATTAATCACAGAATGGAAGAGATATGGAAAACATCAAATTAGATTATATGACAGGTAGAGCCCTGAAAGTTATAGTATATCTAAATAAATATTTAGGAATTTCAAATTTTTACAAAAATAACTAACTAAATAAAATTCAAATCTGCTATTATCAGTCCAACTGATGACAAGAATATGTCTGTTTTTGCTGAAGAAGAAGAAAAAATAATCATTTATTTGCAGTAAACACTATTTTTTGAAACAAATCTTTAAATGCTTGTTTTACTTGCTGGTTCCTCAGAGAATAAATAAAAGGATTCATCATGGGGGCAACAGAGGTATTGAGAATAGCTACTCCTTTGGTCAATGATGCCTTTTCTTTTGCAGAAGGATTGGCATACATGAAGATGCAGCTTCCATAAGAGATAGAAATTACAATCATATGAGAAGAACATGTGGAGAAAGCTTTTTTTCTTTGACTGGCAGATGGAATTCTCAGAATAGTCCTGATGATATACATATAGGACAAAATAACTAATGCCAAAGTGAAAAGCAGAGTCACCAATGCAAAGTAAAAACCAATTACTTCTAGGAGCCATGTGTCTGAGCAGGAGAGTTGTAAGAGGGGGAAGTAGTCACATGCAAAGTGATCAATGACATTGGAAGCACAGTAATCCAACTGGAGAAGAAGCATAAGAGGTGGGAAAATGGTTAGAAACCCTCCCACCCATGCACACAACACGAGCAGTGTGCAGAGTTTCCTGTTCATGATGGTTGTATAATGCAGAGGCTTGCAGATGGCCACATAGCGGTCATAGGACATCGCTGTTAGAATGTAGAATTCTGTTACTCCCATGAAAATGAAAAAAAAGAGCTGAGCTGCACAGTTGTTATAGGAAATTGTCTTATCCCTAGTAATAATGGCACCCAAAAATCTTGGAATGCATACCGTTGTAAAGGAGATTTCTAAGATGGAGAAATTCCGAAGGAAGAAATACATAGGTGTCTGTAGATGAGAATCCACCAAGGTTAGAGTGATGATAGTCATGTTTCCAGTGACACTTAAAACATATGTGATAAATAGAAAGAGGAAAATCACAATCTGAAGGTCAGGATCATCAGAAAGGCCTAGGAGAACAAATTCTGTGATTACTGTGTGATTATTCATTTCTCATTCTTCTTTTAAGCATATTTTGATGAATACAGTACTAAAGGGAGAAGATAGAAGATACAGTTACATAATCAATACCACTATCATCAACACAGTTCTACAATATAGAATCAGTGCAATTGTATCTTGTTTTTTCATGTTGATATAATTTCAATACTTTTTAAATTATTGTTCTTATTTACACACGTAGTAGTAGTCAAGAAATATTAAAAAAATAAACCAGATCTTTGAGAGGTGGTGAGTAAAAGAATTCTTATTTTATATACAATTTTTTACATAAAATATTATGGTTTTGTTGAAACAATTATAAGAATATTTCTTATTTCTTCAGTCATCCATGTTTAGTCAATTTCAAATTCTAAAATTAGAAACATGAGATTAATCTTATAAAAACTGAAAAGCAAACTTAAAAGACAACTATTTAATATTTACTGGATATAAGATATTCACTAATGATTATTTGAAATATGACTTTTATTTTTAACTCAAGATTTATTAATCCAGCCTGCTCTGGACTGGACTTTGCTTGTGGATGCAGATACTCAAAGTTTCCAATTTGAACAAAGGATTCTTCAGCAAGAAGGACAAACTTGTTTCCTCATAGTAATTGTTTGACAGGGATGGGCAAATAAGCAGTTGCCTATCTAAAGAGATCATATTGGGATTTGAAGAATGAAGTAGCTGGCTTACATGCTTTCTCAAAAGTAACTGTTGGTGGGATGACTGTAAAGGGGAAACACTTTACAATACAAATGAAATATTATATGTATTTACAACTGTATTCAACACAATGTACATTCATGACATGCAATGCATATGAATGATACAAATATGACACAGCTATTCCACTGCTACTAATATACTGTTAGAACAATAGAACTGGGACACAAATAGAATTTTGAACATCTACTTTTATTCAGAACAGATGATCTGGGAGGCTGGGATCTATGGGGAAGAATGGGGCATCAGGATTGGAGGAAGACTTATCAACAACCAGTGTTGTGCAGATGACACAACCTTGCTTGCTGAAACTGAGCAGGACCTGAAGCACTTGCTGCAGAAGGTCAATGATTGTAGCCTTCAATAAGGATTGAAGCTCAACATCAAGAAAACAGATTCTCACCACTGGAATAATACACAGAGAAGAGGCTGAGATTGTTAACAGCTTTAGTTTACTTGGCTCCACAACCATTCCAACAGCCAGGAAATCAAAAGAATAATTGCATTGGGCAACTCTTTTTTCAGGGACCTCTCCAGAGTACTGAAGAGCTACAGTCAGTCTGGAAATTAAGGTGCACATGATGCAGGTCATGGTCTTTCAAATTACTTGCTATGCATTAGAGAGCTGGGCAATGATTACATATGATAGAAGAAGAACCTATGCCTTTGACTTGTAGTGCTAGAGAAGTGTATTGAATATACCATGGACTGCTAACAGAACAAACATGTTCATCCCGGAGAGGGTGAAATCAGGCTGCTCTTAGGGGCAAGGATTCTGAGGCTTTGTCTGACATACTTTGAGTATGTTGCAAGGACAGACTAATCCTTGCAGAGGGACATCATACTTGGGAGGAGGGAGGGACACCTTAAGAGAGGGAGATGGATTGATTCAGTGACTGGGATAATAAGGGTAGATGTGTCAGAGAAAACAAGGTTGGCACAAGATAGAATAGAGTTCAGGGCTATTTTACATAGGATTGCTATGAGTCATAAATCACTCAAGAGCACATAGCAACAACACTGTTTATAGTAGTATTATTTACAGTAGCAAGAAAATGGACATGGGCTCAAATATCCACCCATAAACAAGTGGATTGAGAAACTATAGTGCATGATAGAATACTAAGTAGTATTCAGGAGCAAGAATTTCATAAAATAATATCTAATATTATGCTGAGTGAATGAACTGAGTCTCATAAAGATGAACACTACTAAAGACCACTATTATACAAATAGAAAGATAATTAGTAAAATGTGGATAGAAGTCCAAAGGGGGAAAAGGGAGGAGAACAGGGGAGGTAAATGTGGGAGAGCACAGAGTCACAGAGTATGGTGGGCAGAGGCTGAGGGTGAAAGAATTAGGATAGAAGTAGAGAGGACCTGAAAAGACGGAGTGATAGTGGGCATAGATCAATGATGATTAATTTTATAAAACACAGTGTATGACAATGATCATATGAAACAATATAAAAGGAGGAATGTGTAAAACTGTATAAATGAAACAATGTCTATGAGTTTTGTTTGCAAACCAATACAAAATTTAGAAAAAAGCAATGAACGAACCAACCACCAACCAAACTGTAAACAGAAAAAGAAATACTTAATAAAATAGATATTATATCATTTTAATTAATAAGGAAAAAGATTTGTGGATCTAATTATAAAGCTAATATAACACCTTTGTATATAATGATTATAATACACATAAATAAATTATTTAACAAAGTTATTTCATAATACACTAATTTATCATGCTATATTTTCTGTTCTACATCTTCTAAATATGTAGAAATATACAAATAAATATTTACACATAACTGTTTATCTGTTTTACCTGTAAGAGACATAAAGTATTTCTTTTTCAGCTTGCACTGAAGTACACACTGAATGTGACTACTTGCCTCAGATCTTAGTGCTGTCACGGGATTATAGTTCAATCCATGCACAGATTGTTGGAAAAATGTTTCATTCCATTGTCATTTTCTCCCATACTTATCTTGTCTATGAAGTCATGCATCTAAATGTTCTAGAAATGTTCAGTTTTGGGGTTTTTCCCCCCCATTTGTCCTGCTGTTGATTGCCTTAAAGTCGAGCACGACTCATAGTGACCCTATCTATGGTCAAAAGGCCTGAAACTATTGACATCTATCAAAGTTCATAAAGTTTCTGGAGACAAGTTATTTAGGAAGTGGTTGCCACTCTTGCTTCCAAACCTGTCCTAGCTCGCTCAAGATAGTCTCCAGTGTTCAGAAATACACTACTAATAATAATCTACAAAAGTATTCGGGATATACATATCTGCAGATTATGAATACTAAAATCTTCACAGATTTTAAGACTGCCAAGTCTTCCTGTAAAAGAATGTAAATAGAATGCCAACAAACCTGAAACATTGAGTTGTATTAGTGTTGTTAGGGTGGACTCTTAAAATAGGATCTCGTAACACCTAGTTATACTTATTTCTAAAAATGTCTAAATGTCACTTTTTTTTAACCACAGCAATGAGAGTGTACTGACCTCCTGGGACTCCAAGTTCAGGCCACGTCTCTGTTTGTAGACCATGAGGGAATTCTGAATGGAGTCCTTAGATTTCTCGATAACCTGCTAACTCCTCCCTAGAGAACAGTTATGTTCATCTTTATATCCTACAGAAGACTTAGAAATGGTTTTTATATAAAATACCTTTCTTTTAAGAAGTTTCTCAATATTTTATCATTATTTAATATTTCATAGTAACAATTCATATGTAAAATTACTTTTTTTCAGAAATTAAAGTCTCCATATGATTTGTAATTCATTATCTTCAGTAAAGCATAAATTTTATACAAATACCTGGATTTCTTTTATCATATTTTATTAGATGTTGGGAGATTGAGTTAAAAATTATTTGATAATGCTAAACTAAATAACTATTATAATCTCTATTTTCTGCTAGCAGTTTTTGAGAAAAAGAGTATCATTTTAAATACTATTCTCATAATCATTGAAATAAATGTTATTTCATTAGTTGGCTCATTTAATCCTCAATATAATTGAGCAATGTTTAATTGAATGTCATTTTTGTCCATTATTATATTTATTTATTCATTTGTCATTTCTTAGAACAAAAATAAACAATATCATAATGTATTGGGCATTACTTAACTAAAATTTGGTAGTGGTGGTTGTTATGTGTCGTTGAGTCACCTGTGACTCATAGTTTCTTACCGCAGCTCTGAAGTCTTCCCTGTCCTGAACCAATCTCACTTATTTGAACACATGTAACCCCCTCCCCCATTGCCCCAGTTACTGCCTTAATCCATTTCATCCTAGGTCTTCTTCTCCTGCTCTATCCCTCCACCATACGAGCATGATATCTTTTTCTTAATGACCGCTTTCTCTTGGCTACATGTGCAAAGTATGTGATATGGAGCTTCAAAATAAACCTCTAAGGAGAAACTTGGTTTAAACCTCTAGTGGACTTATTATTAATTTTCCTTAATATCCTATTTTAGGTTGAACGCATATTTTCGCAATAGGCATGAATTAATATAAACTCAGATAATAGTCACAAACAGGTATGCCTGGAGAGGGTGAAACCAAGTTTGTTCTTGAAGGCAAGGATTTTGAAGCTCCATCTTACATACTTTGGGCAGATGGCCAGAAGGGACCAGTCCTTGAAGAAGGACATCATGCTAGGAAGGGTGGAGGGACAAAGCAGGAGAGGGAGGTACTGAATGAGATGGATTGACAGTAATTGAGGAAATGGAGTAGGTGTGTCAGACATAGTGAGACTGGCTCAGAATAGGGCAAGGTTCAAAATTATTGTGCATGAGTTCGTTATGAGTCATAGTCAATGGCACACAGCAACAACATACATATTTATACATCTACTATGCAATCATATAAACTTGTGAATCCAAGTAAAAATTAAATAATTGGTTGTTGTGTGTTGTAGAGTGGAAAACAATCCAAAATTGACACTCCTGTGGGTTTTCAGAGACAGTTAATCCCTTGGGGGGGAGATTGCCCATCTTTCTCCCAAAAAAGCAGGTAGTAGATTTGAACTGCATGCCTTAAAAACTGCAGTGCAACTTCTTGGAGATAATTGTTAAATACATCTGTACAAAAATATTCATAACAGCATTGCCCACAATAGTCAAACGGTAGAAATAATCCGTGTATCCATCAACAAGGGAAAGAATAAATAAAATATGATGAATATTACTATAAAATATTCAAATTTCAGAGTTACATCTTGATACTTTGAAAGTACACACGAATGCATATTATGTGAT